ATCAAGATTCGATGACAATTGCTCGGGAGTATGGACGGTCCGACGTCTTCCTAACTAAAACGTTCAGCCCCAAGTGGGACGAGCTTTTTAAAGCGATATTTTCCTAAATCCAGACAGCTCAAGATCGACTTGATATCGTGGCTCGCGTGTGGCAGCAAAAACGGCAAGCGACATTTGACGATTTAAACCAAGCCGTCTTGGGGCGGGTGAGAGTGAGTATTTAAGGTGTCGATTTTCAAAAACAAGCCCTCCCCACCCTCACGTATTGATTAGTTTGGCTGACGAAGCCAAACCTTGAGCGCGCGAGATCGTAGACAAGATGGTATGCGCTGAGATCCCATATAAGGATACATATCCTTAGCTGTATGAAACGGTCAGTCATGCATGGTCCATGGTCCATGCGGGCCTGCAAACCTTTCATGCGCGTGTATGAAGAACGGCAAGTGCTCCAAAGAATTTTCCAAGCTATTAGCTGGATTTACACAAATCAATGCTAATGGATATCTAGTGTACAGACGTCGTCGGCGACAAGAATGAGTTTTACACTTTAAAGGCAGAAAATACAGCAATGCTACGATTGACCAGTGGGTTGTACCGTACAACCCGTACTTATCCCAGAAGTACAACTGTCACATCAATGTGAAAGTATGCACGGATATGTCTGCGGTTAAATACCTGTAAAAGGATGTGTACAAAGGCCCCGTCATGGCTGTGGAAGAAGTTCGAGGAGGACAGCAGACTGCGCAGCGAGAGCCAAACGAGATTCTACGTTTCTTGAGTGTCCGTTACATTTCTCCGGTGGAAGCTTGCATGCGCATGCTCAATTTCACGATTCAGGGGGAAACCATGCGATGACAAAACTAACAGTTCATCTCAGGTCAGGGCACACGGTTTGCTTCCGTCGGACGGAAAACCTGGAGGCGGATTTGGAGCGTGGTAGTCCGCTGTGTGCGAGTGAGGTGCCCGAGAACCATATTGCCAGAACGATGTTGTATCAGGACATCCCTGTTGGAAAGCGCCGAGGAAAGGGCAATCAAAAAGATGGGTTTGCCAAAAACAGAATCAGGCTGCGGTTGGTCGCATGATTCTCATATCTCCTCGTGATATTTAGCGGCTCCATCTTCGGCTACTGCTCTGTCCGTGTAGAGGCCCAACGTCGTTTGAAGATTTGAGAACGGTTAACGGGATTGTCTGCCACACATTCCAAATTGCGGCGCAGGAGGCTGGCTACTTGTAGAATCACAATGAGTGGGTTCCTGTTTAGGGAAGCTGCTGAGTTCCAAATACCGTATCAACTACGCCAGCTCTTTGTCATCACTCTGGTGTATTCCGCTCCAGAAAATATTGGTGTTTTATGGGATCGGTCCCTGATCTTTCCCAAAACAGTGCGTGCAAGCATAAGGCTTTAAAGGACCCCTTCAAGTTGGCGCCGGTAGAATTTAAGATGCTAGTGAGCATTCAAGAACCACTTCAAACGAGCGGGTATGCGATAGGAAACTTCGACGAGCTTGTTCAATTGGAATTGTCCCCAACATTGATTCGTGAATTCGCTTCGCTAAAACGGCTTACTTCGACGTGAGCTCACTGGATACGATGCGTCAACTTTGGAGGCGTTTGTAAGCACAGCAGACCAGCTGAACGAAGGACAGCGGGTGGTTTACGTCCCGATTATTGAGCTGCCATTTTTTCTGAAAGGCAAACAAAACAATTGTTGCTGGCCCGGATGGTACTGGAAAATCTACACTGCTTCGAAACATACTGGCCAGCGTCCGACTCTCGTGGGAATCCGTCATCGCTGTTGTGTCTAGTGGTATTGCCCCGCGCTTGCTTATGGGAGGTAGGACAGCTTATTCTACAAGACACCAAACACGAATCCACTGGAGAGTATAAGCGGGAAATCACCGAGCGTTGGAACACGATACTGGGGTAGGGACGAGCCACGGAGCACGATTTTTCGGTAGCTCACGATAGCTCAGACGACAGAACAACCGCGATACTGCGAGATAACACAATAGCACGGACGGTGGGCCAGCCACTAGACTGTGAGAGAACACCCAACCGCTGGAGCTGTAGACGTGAAATCACGGAGCCACGGAAGGCGACAGCGCGATTGCACGGGCGGCAGATCAGCCATAGAAGCACCGGGAAGCGCTTCGGGATACCACGAGTGCACAACGTGGAGCAGTATGCCATTGTAGAACACAATTACACGGGAAACGCATATACACTACGCGAGCACAATACCATAGATAGCATTATCACACCGCGATTGCATGATAGCGCGATAACGCGGTCGATGGAGTGACACCAGGAGAGCACGTTACACGGGAGACGGATCAAAATAACTACGGAATAGCACACGTCGGCGAGGGTACCGTCGATGAGACACCATGGACCATGAATGAATATGGACCACAAAACCTGCAAAAAAACCACGGAAGCCCTTGAAAACTCGGATACTAAAGAGGGCGGTGTGCCGAAGAATGAAACCAAAAGCGATAATGTATAACCGTTAAGCGGTGTTAGAAACAGGTAAGTGGGGAACCAGAAAGCAGCGAAGGACACGAAAAAGCACGGGTTATGGCAGAGCATGTATCCCAGTTTGAGTACGGTGAAGCGAAAGAGTACGACACCTCGATGTCGAACAGAGCCACATGAGATAACGAAACTGCAAGTGGCTCAAGTACACGAAATCATACCGTACTAGGGTCGACGAGTGCGTTTGGAGCCTAACACAACATATTTCATCGAGAAATACTTAGCGCTGCAGCCACCAAACCTCGAACAAACCACGGAGCACGATACCAATGTAGAGCCTGAGTTCACCAAGTCACGGAGGAAGATATTGCATTCGAACAGCATGCGCGGGCGATGGGCCAGCCATGAAATCACGGGAAAACACATAGGGACAGTACGAGGTCACGCCGCGGAGCATGATACCACGGTAAATCACGACACGATAACACGCAAAACAGATATACACTTTCATACCACTATAGCACAGCCGATATAACCACACCACAACACCACAGTAGCTGCTCGACAATATACGGGCGACGGAGCAACACTACTACCAAACCAAAGAATAGCACCCTTCGGCTTGAGTACCGGCGATGGGAGGTGAACGGCCACGAAAGCCTATGTACCACAACACCGGTGCAACCCATGTACACACTTAAGAACAGTGAACTCTAAACAACCACGAAAGAAGACGTACTAAAGAGAATGAACCCAAATGAGAGAGCGCTTAACCACTATGCAGCGTGAACCACGGATGAGCAGGAAATTGCGAAGCCAGGAATAGCACGGGTCATTGAAGAACACGACATCCAACCTATAGTACGGGTTAGCGGAAACATGCCAAAGCACGATATTGTACGAGGCCACATGAGACGACGGAAAGATAAGTTGTTGAGTACACGAGGCCAAGATCTACTGGACGCACGACGATCACAAAACACGCATCACCAAGAAACACATAAATTTGCTGGTAACCTCATCTACAACCAGCCATACCACTCCGCAGCGTAGCGGCGGCGGCCGGCTAGTCAAAGCCCCCGGTGAAGTGAGGTCTGCGTCTGTCCGTAACGGGCTTGATTGTTAACATGAACATTTCCTTGCGCATGGCTACACTCCACCTGCTTAATACTATATATTCCCATCCTTTTGACTGCACCTATCTTTGTGACTCGGCTTGGCTGCAAAAATTGCCATTTTAGCCATGAATAGAGCTAACAAATGTAACGCAAATACGCGCGTTCTACTGACTGCCGAGCGCAGCGAATTGGCTAAAATCGCATTTTTTGGTGTACATATTATATATGGTCAGCATATCGTACTTAATTGCACTGTTTAAACTTCGTCTTGCCCCATTTTCATCTGTGGTTCGCCAGGTCCCGCAAAGGGCGCCGGGTATGTGCGGGTCAGTTTGTATTTGTAGACTTCGCCGACGTGCGCACACGTACTATATCGTCGTATGAGCTGTTGAAAAAACTTTTAGGCTTTGGTGACCCATATTTTAACCTCAGTCGAAACTTTAGTACATACGGGTTATATAATGATGTTTTAGGCTTCGTAGTACTTTTGTAATAATTTAACTTACAATAATGATTTGCGTAGTACTATTCAAAATACATTTCATATTTTATATTGCAGTTATTTGCTGTTGTAGTACATGTACACAAGTTATTATACAAGAGTTCAATAATAAATCTCAATCTACTACTATTATTAATAATGTGAAAACTTTAAAATATGACTATTGTGTTTTCCAAAAATACCAACCACGCCACGACATCACGGTAGCAGCCCGACGATATATGGGCCAACCTCTAGTTTGTATGGATCCCAAGCTAATCTTACTTATACAAACATCAGTGTTAAATCTACTCTTCTAAGTAGCAAACTGTTTTCCTTTGAGGCCGGGAACACGTGGACTAACGTTCACTCGGATGGTTAATTACCTTAAGCACTTCCTCTGTACAAATTGCTGTGTGACCCCATCACAATTTGGATATGAAAAGATCATTTTGTCTGAGGCTATATAGTAGACGATAAGACACGATGAGCATCCCTGACTATTAGTGTTCGCTTTTCAAGAAGTCTAAGTCAGCCTCGATGGGTGATATCCAACCTTTGGGCATCACATATAGAGAATGTAAACCGGTTTCAACCGGATTTCGGGTTGCCTTTTTTCACACAACCGGATTAAACCGAGTTTGGACCGGGTCAAACCGAGTCAAATCCGGTTAAACCGGTTATTAATGTCTACAAGTTTCACACCAAAACGAATTTGTTGTATGATGCGTTTAGTAGTGGTATGTTTTGCTGAAGGTAATGAAACGTTAGCAATTGGGTAGAACCAAACACTATTTTAGCGAATTATCGACTGTCTATCACACTCTGATCACTTATTGCCTAGGGACCGTTTCCTTGCATGTGATTTTAGAGGTACTGTGCTCAGTAATACATGTACCCGTACCGTTCATCTGATGGCGTCCATGGGCGACACGAGGTCTGGCGACGGCTCTCCACGCGCTCAGCAGCAGAGTGGGGGCTTCAGAAGACAAGGAAGTGTCGACGAACGGATTCGCTCGGGTAGTGGGAGCTTTGCAGCTCCAGACGACCACGCAGACGACGATGCGTCCATGTCCAATGACGAATCCATGAGTTCTTCCTCATCTTTTGACCAATTGAAGCAACAAGAGCAACATTTAAAGCAGGCAAGGGGTCCTTCTGGTCGTACCAAGTCTTTTAACGACTTTGCAAGGCAATTACCGTACCAGGATCCCAGTCTAAACGTCGCTCCACGGTCCACAAGCTTCTCGTTTGAAGTGGTGGACGCTTCTCTAAGTGGGCCCCCTTTACCGTCCACATAGATCATGTGGCTATTGACACAGTTCGCTCCTGCCATGTCTAAAAGTGTGAAAAGTGCAGATCCAAGTGCAGATATGGAGGATGACGAACCTTTCGATGATGAAGAATCAAGCAGCTCAAGTGAACGAAGCGCCACAAAGTCGAGACCAAACAGCCAACCGATCAGGAAATCGACGGGTGACTTGGGCGTCTTCGACTGCTCATGTGGAACTTCCTGAAGGTATCCGACTGACAGCAGCGAGGAATGAAGTGACGGGTGTACAGTTGAGACTGAGATCCAATGTGCCGTTCCTACTGACTGACAACAGACACCAGTAACTGGTTGCTACCATTAGGTCACGGTCCAAGAGCTCGCGTTGGGGTGGATACGAGGTTCGTTCCTCCTCATAATATCAAAGTGGAAGCTTTCGTAGTGGGGACTGTGGAAGATGCGAATTCGGATATAGTCATGGAGACGTTGGAACGTACGGGAGTGAGTGCAAAAGCCATGAGAGAGCAAGCTGTGTATCTGAGGGTTCGGGTGGGAGAAAACTTGGACCCAGGCGTGTACGAACTGCCCCTGCGAGTGTTTACCCAAGCGAGGCTGCTCTTGGACGTCGCGGGCCTCGTGCAGAACGCGCTGTACACGTCTTGGTGTCGGCTCATTCGAAAGCAGCGCTCTTCCTGCGTGCGTCGGTGCCAATTGTGCATCTGAACTTGGTCTGTCCACGCCGCCAGCAGCTGTCGCGTCACATGCCTCATGGCCTCCATCGCAGCACCTGACAAGCGGCAAAAGAAGCTGCCGCTGCTGCTTCTGGACGAGCGCACCAGCAGCGACTTCCCCACGGGTTCCTCCGAGTCCTCTGTGGTGCCGGAGCTGCCCATGGCCTTTGACATGTCGGCCAATAGCAACGCCAGCACAGCCAGTGAGATGACGAGCACCAGCAGCAGCGCGAGCGCCAGCAGCTCCAGCCGCGGCGTCAAGTGGTGGAAACGAGTGACGGCTATGAGAGCAAAGAGAAGACGAAGTGGAAGCAAACAGGAGAGCAAAGAGAAGACGAAGTGGAAGCAAACAGGAGAGCCGTCCGAGTCTCGATCAGGAGCTGTACGTGCGCAGCATCCTCGAGTCCTACGCGTCGTCTATGAGCTCCAATAACAGGTATTCCACCAGCAATCCACAGCCGTCGGTGGGTGAAAGTAGCAGTAGCAACAATAGCAGCAAGAAGAGCAACGAACGCACGTACCTCTTCTTCATGGCCTGCCAGTGCCCATTGTGCACCGAGATCTTAAGCCGCTGAATTGCATCTTTGATTCCGAACGGGAGATGCTGAAAGTGGCAGATTTCGGCGAGTCTTGGTTGCTCCGTTCTGTGGCCCCGCGGCCTAATTTCTTCCCGTCAGCTGATGTCACCGTGCAAATGACGACAAACGTTGGGAGCGCGTGTTGGGCACGAACAACCGCGGTTCCTACAGCGCTTAGTACGCACTTTCGCATCAAATTGGCTGTGAATCACTCGGAATTCTTCTCTCCAGCCTATTCTCCACCTCAAGTAGCCGACTATGTGCCTCTCCTGCCGTTAGCGTGCGCTGATCTCGAAGTAACTCGTCGACTGGCTAACGATGCTCGAGCTCGTGGAGGTCACGTGTGTTGGTACGTCTGTTGCGGTCTAGCTTTCCCCAACCAGTTCGTGTCCTCACCCCTTGTCGAAGGAGAGCTCGTCGGATACCTCACCTTCTTGGAGCTTGATGGTTTCTTGCGGTGGAACTACTGTCTGTGGCCCTCTCGACCTTGGGACGATCTTCGGTGGCGAGCTCCGATGTGGAAAGTGGGAGACACGTACTTTGTGCTGCCAGGACGCGACGGATGGCCAGTGGACATTTGCCTTGTCATGAAGACGGGCGGCCCTACTGCCTGGCAGCTTTTTGCAGTTCCCATCGTGTTCGACAATGACGAGACCGTGGTTGCCAATGCTGAGCTTAGAGGTAAGCGACAGACGACTGGTCTTCCACACAGCCACGCCGAAATTAGGAAGCGGCGGCTGCTACAATAACCGTTTACTAACGACTTTTTTGCATTGTGAAGCAGCTCCCACTGATGCACACAGCCCGGTGATACACGAGCGACATCAATTCCAGCACCACCATGGTAACAAGTGCCGTACGTATCTTCTAATCCTAAACTTTGAGGATTGCAATTCGCAATTTTGTAAACGACTTTCTTTGATCTTCGTTAGACCTCAAACACCTCAAAGGAATGGGTCTACTCGTGTGTATCGGAAGGGTGCTGCTCCTTGCGTTGATTGAACTTAAAGAATGACTTCAGCTCACAAATGGCTTCCACGGCATCATCACCCAGTCGAGCACGGCGGTTGCTCAGAGCAATTCCAGCAGCTGAAAAAGCTATTTCGCTTGGGACTGATGTTGCAGTTATCGCAAGGAAATCTTGAGCCATGAGTTTGATGCGCGGGCAGACGTCTCCCGTGACACGAAACCAGGTGCACACATCCCTGCTTCCAGTCATTTCACTCATTCCATCGGCTGCTAACCATCGATCGAGTTCCTTAGCAAAGGAATCATCGTCGCCGCTCGCCGCATCTCGATATCGAGCCGCTTCACCAACGAAAGCGCTGTTGTCGGAACGGGCATCGAGACTTTCTTCAGCAACCCCAAAAGAACCGGCACTAGCAACCTGGTGGGTGCTGCGCGCAAGAAGTTGACGTAGTGATTTGCCCTTTTTCTTTTGTGCAGATGGGGGTCCACGATTCGATTGCTGCTGAGCTTGAAAAGCTGCGCGATAGTGCTGGTTAAACTCATCAATAACTTCTTGTTTGACGCTGGCCACATTCTTGACCAAGACATCGAGATGCTGCTTAGCACGTGGATCTACAGTAGAACGGTTGCAATTCGTGCCCCCCTTTTGTCCAATTTTGGTTCGTCGTCATCCAGCTTCCGTTTAACTGCGTCAGCAAACGTTTAGGTATGCTCGTCCTGAGATTTTTCAATTGTTTCAACTGCGTGGAGCTTGATGGCGTGGTTCGTAAGCAGGAGAATACCGAACGTGGGGTATGTTGACGCTGATAACATGTCTGTGGCCTCCTTAATAGGTTCGAGAAAGGTGTATAGCGTATTCACTGCTGCCCACGACTCCTCCGTTATCTCCTTAATGAGGCAATCCCCTGGACGGATAGTAAATCCAGTATAGGGAGGTTCCTTTAGCTCAATGCGCCGCAGCATCTCGTTCAAAGGCAGCTTCATTCTGAGAAGACTATCCAGCATGATCCACGTACTGTTCCACCTCGTAACCACATCCAGCTTAGGAGTGATAAATTCGCGCAGTATGTCAGCACATACTTGCTGGAGCGCCTCTGTTAGTTTAGTAGATTCCGATATTTTTTTTGGCAAGATCGCGAAAGTAGCCAATAGCTGAATCAACCAGTGGGCACTTCGCGAGCCCTTCCTTCACTGCAAGTTGGAGGACGTGTGCAGTACAACTTAACTGCACAACCTGCTGAGACGAGGTATCCGAAGGAGACGGCAACGACACCGGCAGATTTTCGTCAAACGCCGCTCGTGCCAGTCTGGCAATCTCGCTCGGTAATTTGCTGTTTATCATACCGACCATAGCGGTGTTGTTAGTTGCGTTATCGACCGTAACCGTCCAAATGGAGCTTCGGATCCCGCTATCCATGTCCTTCACAGCCCTAATAAAGTGCTCAGCGAGACGTTTACCCGTGTGCGGGTACTGTACCCGTTTGAATGCAATAATAACGGAGCGCATTTCCCAATTGGTGTCGATAAAGTTCATAGTGATCACAATATAACCTCTTTTCGAGGGAGACGTCCACATATCAGTGGTAAAACTGCAACGGCGGCCTGCAATCTCGCGCCGAATCTCGACCCGAGCGGCTTCCCTCTCTGTCTTCCACTGCCGTAACACTTTCTTGCGAATTGTACGTTGGCAAGATACATTAAACCTGGGGTGTAATGCTTTACAGAAGGTCACAAACTCCTCTTGGTCTACAACAGCAAACGGATAGGCATTCGCGACAATCCATATCACCAGTTTGTCGTCGCAAACTTTGGTATTCTCAGGAGACATCCTTTCAGCTTCCGTACAGGATCTTGTTCGACGGCCAAATACTCCAAGACTGGACTCGGCTTGGGGATTGTAAACATCGGTATGATGACTAAGTAGATGAGTCATCTAAGATGACCCCTCCAATTTGTTGTAGAGCGGGTGCGCCAGATCTGATTGACGCCTGCCCTCGCACACACCATACACTGAAAATGCCCAGTACCGAGCTCCTTGATGTAGTTGTAGATGTCAGATTCGTTTTTGCGGGTGCGGAAGCGTACTCCGCCAGAAGATCCAGTCGATGAGATAGTGGAGGTGGTATCAGCGTCTATTGACGCTGTGTCGGCACCCATATCTGTGGGCAGCGTTATTTGTGTAGTAGCCGCTAAATAGTATAGGAGTAGTCCGGCTCGTAGTTGCAGCTCGAAGGTCCCCTTGTTTCCGTCTCACAGAGAGAACCAAGAGACTCTTTCACGTAGTGTAAGGAGCGCTGCGGTGCCGCTGCCTGTGAGTCGCAGCGTGTGATCGATGTGGCAATTCGGCCACAGTGGAAGACTGACAGGCTTTATAGACATTGTCAATTTGACGAGCCGATCAGGCTGTGCATCTTAAAGAGAGAATTTTACCTCTCCCGATAGGTATGGCCGGGGGGGGGGGGAGATACTAGCTATCAAAGGTTAAAAGCATGGCGTTTGGTCTCCTTCAAACCGGTTTGAGCCGAATTATATCCGAACCGAATTATATCCGGTTTGATTCGGATAATTTTGGACCGGGTCTAACCAGTTATGATTCGAATCAAATTCGATTTTAACCGAATTTACTTGACCCGTTACATTCCCTAATCACATATATGTTTAGATCGTATTGGGCCCATCGTTTAGCGAAAAGAACAACCTCATTCTCAAGAACCCTCCTCATTATTACGATAATTGCTCGTAATCCGCATCAGGAATTCAAGATTTACTCAGAGATAAGCTTGATGAATTCAAAACTGTTGCTGATCCTGAGTCTCCACCGAGCGTCGTTCAGGTAAGAAGGACTCCTCTGAGCTCGAATAAACCGGGGTTGGTCATCATCGATGATTGCAGTAACGATAAGCTACTTCATAAGAATCTGTTCTCTCACGATATGACCCGAGGACGACATTTCAAGTTGAGTACTATTTTTCCTTAGCCATAGTTACTTTGCTACCGAAATGATTATTCGATAGACCTCAGAGTACGTGTAGATCCTAAAAGCCATTTCGATGTTTTTAGGAATGGTTGTCAAATATTTTAACATTCCCGGCGTTGATGAACGATCGATCGTCCATTACTACAACCGCGCTACTAAGAGAAAAGGGCAAATTCTGCTTTGCGATAGCGTGAGAGAAAAATTGCGATACATTTTCGATAGACCTATCCAAACGAATGAGTAATTATTGAAATCGGTATATGACGTATCCATTAATATATCCGACACTCTGAGGGAGGCTTGTTTAATCACGTGTGGGTCTTTTGTTAGGCTTGATTCAACGAATTTAGTTCAGGATGGATACAATCGCTCATGAAAGTATTCGTTTCCTGGCTCAGCGGCCGCATCACATGCGCAGTTCAGTCAATTCTATGTTTAATTCAGATTATAATATTGATTCATGTCAATTCTGATATAGCCCGTTCAGATTGGAGCTATCTATGATCTCAATCGTTCTCCCTGATTGTATTTACACGTATACGGATATCAATCGCAGTATATAAACCGCTCTGGTAAATACCGGAGCCTACCCAGCTGATGCATCGGGGATTCATGTTTTTTTATATTCAGCTGACTGAGAATAGCGTATACAACGCTGATCAGTTCGATTTTAGCGCAACACCTACAAATTTACCATCGGGTTACGTCAGACGTGCTACTGGCTGATACACCTCCAATATTACAGGTTTACCTACTTCAATCCGTGTTGCCTCGCTTGGTCAGTGATAACCCCGCATTTGGAAAGGTAGTTGGGTTTACAGCTGGAATATATCCACCAGTTTCTTTTACCCGGTCGAGTACTCAGCTATCAAATATTATCCCTCAAATCCATCCGACAGCGTCGTATATCGTCAGATGTGATTTGATCAAAAATAAATACAGCATCTGGTGATATTCTAAGTGCATTTGATCGAGGTGATGCTGCTGTCGGTCAGTTAATGTCGTAAGGCGAAGTCAGTATGCTTGGGTGGACTGCTACAACGGATCAAGG